TGGATTGCGTAGTACTATGGTTTTTGATCCGCCTTCTGGCACAGTATTTCCGACTTAAGAATCTCTTGAGAGGGAGACCTTGTTTGTTGTCCAATCCAGTTTCCCGCTTAGGGTTGAGACCCCAACCTTCAGCTGGATTGCTGAGAAGAACAGGGTCCACAATGAGAAGGTGAGGTAGGCTTGAGCAAGAAAGGCTAATAGACATTAAGTCTTGTATTGCGCATCATTGCTCCATCTGGACACTATCCTATCCTTTGCTGTTGCATGCAGCTCATCCTGTGTCCTCAGTATCTTTTTCACTTGACTGTCTACCTCCCTTCACACCTGTTTTGTGTATGTTGTTGTTGTTTGTTGTGCATATATACATGTCAAACTCCAGTTCTGGAATGAGACCACGGTCTAGAAGTAGACCAATAGAGTTTACAGCTGGTGAACATTCAGAATTAGTTCAGCGATTTCTTTCCTTCAGTTCAGCAGCATGTCTTCTCCATGGTATGTTGCATTCAATGCTGATCACCTGTACCTGCATAGATCCAGGGATGTTTGAAGGGAGTATAATGACGTTTAACCTTCTACTGCCTTATTTGCTAATGTTTCTTTACTTATAATGATTGGTTTGAAGTTGAAACTGGAGTGAAACAAGTTGGCATTTTGTCTCCTGTTGTCTGGCACAATCATTGACTGGGTGATGAAAAAGGTCTTGTGCTGGAAACATCAACATTGACTGGGTGGAGAGCACATTGATGCAAGATTGTCATGTTTCTCCTTATAGAGTTCTGCTAGGTAAAGACAGAAATAACAGGCAAAGAAAACCGTCAAAGTCGGAAGATGTCAGCCTACTTGGCACGGGACTAAAAATCCGACATCTACGCACTAGCGATATGGTCATGCTGCGAGAGAAGCTATGGGGGACCGGTGGCGACCTTAAACGCACAATCCTGTGACCCAGACGGGACTCAATCTGTAGCATGACTGATGTCGAACGCAGAAGAAGAAGAAGAAGAAGAAGGCAAAGAAAAACAACTGATTTAGCAAAAATAGCATCAAAGATTGGACTAAAATAAGGTATGAAAAGACAAATTTACTGTCAGGACCAATAACAGATCAACCAGATGTAACAAATTTACTGTCAACACCAATAACAGATTAACCAGATGTAACGATAGAGAGAAACAAGGGATTAAAGTAACAGATGAATTTACTTTTTTTTAGATAGTGAAAGAAATAACCAGAAAAATTATGATTTTGCATTTGAAAGGAATCAGCAGCTTTTAAAAGTCTTCACAAAAATATGTATAGTTAAACTATAAAGTGGTCATCTGTGTCATAGTTGTGTAACAGGTACATTTTAAAGGCATATAGAGAGAAGAGCGGACATATAAAAGTAGAGAGAAAGAGACGAGCAGAATAATAGTTAATGGATGTATAAGAAGATAAAAAGGTTCTGTTATGTGTGCAGTGTAGTAAGTCTACATCCCACATGATCAGGTAATAGTCAGTGGAGGAATGAGTGTTACCTAGTTTCAGTATAGTAGAGTAGTATAAAGACTACAATAACTAAATATACATAATACACAAGATTTTATATCAAGTTATAACCAGAGTGAGCCCAAATGCTACTCACTCTCCAAGACCTTAAATAGAACAACACCCTACATCCATTACAATTGATAGCAGGATCTGCTCTACTCAACGATAAACTCACAAGTAACTACTACCCCTACTCTAAAGTCAAGCCAGTAAATCATGACCTTACTTCCATGTCACCTGTTAAATATATTACAACAATCTATAATTTCACTTTCCTCAACCTTTAAATGTTCAATGCAATAACATAAACCTTATTTCACATTGCAAACAACTGCTCATACGAATAGTTCTTACTTTAACTTGGATTATTATGCACTTGTAAACATCCCTATTCCCTAATATGCATATACTTCTCAAACACCACACATTAGGATGTATAACTATAGATGCAACTATTGACTTTAACCGCATGAATGTCCATGACTTACAATACTGCTGTGACTTACAATACTGCTGTGACTTACAATACTGCTGTGACTTACAATACTGCTGTGACTTACAATACTTCTCTGACTTACAATACTGCTGTGACTTACAATACTGCTGTGACTTACAATACTGCTGTGACTTACAATACTGCTGTGACTTACAATACTGCTGTGACTTACAATACTGCTGTGACTTACAATACTGCTGTGACTTACAATACTGCTGTGACTTACAATACTGCTGTGACTTACAATACTGCTGTGACTTGACTTATAATACTGCTGTGACTTTACAATACTTCTCTTGACTGCTGTTACAATACTGCTGTGACTTACAATACTTCTCTGACTTACAATACTGCTCTGACTTACAATACTGCTGTGACTTACAATACTGCTGTGACTTACAATACTGCTGTGACTTACAATACTGCTGTGACTTACAATACTGCCGTGACTTACAATACTGCCGTGACTTACAATACTGCTGTGACTTACAATACTTCTCTGACTTACAATACTTCTCTGACTTACAATACTGCTCTGACTTACAATACTGCTCTGACTTACAATACTGCTCTGACTTACAATACTGCTCTGACTTACAAGACTGCTGTGACTTACAAGACTGCTGTGACTTACAATACTGCTGTGACTTACAATACTGCTGTGACTTACAATACTGCTGTGACTTACAATACTGCTCTGACTTACAATACTGCTGTGACTTACAAGACTGCTGTGACTTACAAGACTGCTGTGACTTACAATACTGCTGTGACTTACAATACTGCTGTGACTTACAATACTGCTGTGACTTACAATACTGCTGTGACTTACAATACTGCTGTGACTTACAATACTGCTGTGACTTACAAGACTGCTCTGACTTACAAGACTGCTGTGACTTACAATACTTCTCTGACTTACAATACTGCTGTGACTCCGATCAGAAAGAAACTATAGGGCAAGGCTATTTAACTAAGTTTGCGCAGGGGCCAAAATGGTTTTAATGAGGATCATCACGGGCCAGAGGTCTAAGCGCCAGAGTAGAACAATGATGAAATCAATACAACTACAACTGGCAGTGATTAGCGGGCCTCTTGCTGGGCCAGATGTGGCCTGCAGGCCACCAGTTCAATGGCCCTGCCATATGGCATCAGTGGAAGGGCCAAGCACACCGTCTTGTTTATGATCCTTGCTAGAATCAATGCATAGCAAATGTTGATCACTGACAAATAACTTCAATACTTTCTGGTTATGTTATTGTTCTATGAATAATGTGAATATTGCGCTGGCTTATCAAAAAGCATGTATGATTTCAAGTTTACAGTATATTCTTAATTATATTGCCATTAGGGAGGACTATCCTCTAAACACATCTTGTGTCTGGTGAAATATGTCTGGCAGCTGCATGTTACACTCCTATATCTACCAGTGTGGCTACAGTGTTATGTAGTCATGCCTGTCGTCACCGTCATGTTCACAGTATTTATCTCGCATGCCATTGATTATCTCCATCTTGTTTAGTGCCAGGGCAGCCATAGCCTCGCTGTTTTCCAGATATTTTGCACTCATCACTCTGATACCTGTATACACCTGGCACAAAGATAAAGGTTAGACTGGCCATCCGCAGAGCACATAATGAGACAGAGCATTCTTGTCTGATGAAGCCAGTCTAAAACTGCAGTTGGAGTATGTGTAGTTGAACTGAAAACCTTTTCCCTTCCACTGGCATGGCTATGTTGTAAAACAAAGGAAGAATGAGAATACGTGGGGGAAGGCAAATTTCTGTTAAAATACTGAACAGGAAAGGAAATCACACTAAATAGGTGAAGAAATAAATACTTCGATGACTTGGCAACATATGTATGGCAAAATAAGCACACTTATCTGATCCATAATCTGTTGATCCTGTAGGATGATGAATCATACTTATCGGCATGGGACATAATGATGCCAACGTTGATAGTTCCCGGGCAGGGCATGGGACATAATGATGCCAACATTGATGGTTCCCGGGCAGGGCATGGGACATGATGATGCCAACGTTGATAGTTCCCGGGCAACGCTTGGGCATGGGACATAATGATGCCAACATTGATAGTTCCCGGGGAGGGCATGGGACATGATGATGCCAACGTTGATGGTTCCCGGGCAACGCTTGGGCATGGGACATAATGATGCCAACGTTGATAGTTCCCGGGCAGGGCATGGGACATGATGATGCCAACGTTGATGGTTCCCAGGCAGGGCATGGGACATGATGATGCCAACGTTGATAGTTCCCGGGCAACGCTTGGGCATGGGACATAATGATGCCAACATTGATAGTTCCCGGGGAGGGCATGGGACATGATGATGCCAACGTTGATGGTTCCCGGGCAGGGCATGGGACATGATGATGCCAACGTTGATAGTTCCCGGGCAGGGCATGGGACATGATGATGCCAACGTTGATAGTTCCCGGGCAGGGCATGGGACATAATGATGCCAACGTTGATGGTTCCCGGGCAACGCTTGGGCATGGGACATAATGATGCCAACGTTGATAGTTCCCGGGCAGGGCATGGGACATGATGATGCCAACGTTGATGGTTCCCGGGCAACGCTTGGGCATGGGACATGATGATGCCAACGTTGATAGTTCCTGGGCAGCACTTGGGCATGGGACATGATGATGCCAACGTTGATAGTTCCAGGGCAGCGCTTGAGCATGGGACATGATGATGCCAACGTTGGTAGTTCCCGGGCAGCGCTGAGTGATGTTTTTTTTAAAGTATATAAAAAGAGGGCAGTGGGCACTCAAAAAAAAAAGTGAGAGAACATATGATCTCAGCTGAACATGTGATCTCAGCTGAACATGTGATCTCAGCTGAACATGTTTGGTAGAATGACATTTTGCTGACTCAGCCATGGATAAAATATACAGTTCACTTGGTAAAATAATTCTAGCATTGTTTACTTTTCCTTCAAATCCAGGATATGGGATGTGAACACTGCTAAAGAGATTCATCAGATTGAGCTTCCCTCTGCACCTGGAAGTCTTGAACTGACATCTGATGGTTCAATCTTGACTGTAACATATGGTCATTTCACTGCATTCTATAATGCTGAATCGTTAGTATTTTAAACATTTTCATTTATTTTCATCTTTGTATTTATATTTTTGTCTGGGATCATAGTGGGTCTTGATAGCAAGGATAACTACAGCGAGCACCAACTTGCAGAGTTTCATGATTGTGAAAAACTCAGTATGCCAGTGTATAAAAATTGGCTTTCACTTTGTGATAGTGAAAAGTTAGCAAACTAATAATGACATACATTAATCCACATTATGAGATGCAACTGAGTCTTCTCAACTCTTTGAGTCCCAGGGGGACAGGGCTGGTCATGTCACAAGTGTAACACATTAAAACAGACTATACTTCTTCTTTCTTCTTTGTGTTCAGCAGCTGTAAACTCTGGCAGAAAGTTCTGGTTGTTCATCCACTTCTGGACTGCAGTCCTGTTTCAGAACCTGGTTGTTCATCCACTTCTGGACTGCAGTCCTGTTTCAGAACCTGGGTGTTGTGTGTGCATCCATTTTACAGATCTGACTCATTTGTATGCATACTTCTGGTTCCTTGCCTCTCAGGCAGATGCACTCTAACTCCATGAGATCAGTTGTGGAAGGGGAGGGGGGGGGGGGGGGGGGATCCCTTAGCTGTTGTGGAAGATCCATAGTGAAACAGATCTTACATGAGATCAGTTGTGATGGGGGGGGGGGGGGGGGGGGTCCCTTAGCTGTTGTGGCGGATCCATAGTGAAACAGATCTTACTTGAGATCAGATTTGTGGTCCAGAATCAGTTATTTCACAAGTGTACATTGAAATCAGGGTTTTGTGATACTGGCAGAAGAACAACAGTTGGAGGATCTGGATTTTGCAGAAATACTAAATCACCCAAATCATCTCAAGCAGTAATTATATAAATAATAGAACTCCCGTGCTGTTTAAGCTATAAACAGGAGTAGCAAAAGCATATTCAGAGATAGACCATGTATTGCTGTTGAGTAAGTTGAAATCATATTGTTCTCTGACCAGAATCAGTTATTTCACAAGTGTACATTCAAATCAGGGTTTTGTGACCTCCAGAAGGTCAAGATTAACTGATGTTTTTTTTATTTGTTTGTTTGATGTTTCAGATTTGAGAAGATTAAAGAGATCAAGGCTCCAGCACCCATTAATACTGCTTCACTTCATCCATCAAAGAATTTTTTTGTTTGTGGCGGAGAAGACTTCAAAATGTATAAATTTGATTATTTCACTGGAGCAGAAATAGGTACATAAATGTTTCCTGTTGTTTATTAATAATTGTGGCTATCTGAGTGTTTTCTTAATTAGGGAAATAGTCATCTTGGCAGTGGGTTTTGTAGGATTTTCTCTGTTGATTTAGAAATTTATGATTATATGTTACTGGATGCTTGATATTTTATTTCTTCTGCCATTATTTTATTTCTTCTGCTATTGATGCTACATTACCAACTCTGAAGCTGTTGCTATCTCTTGTATTTTTTTCTAAGTCTTCTCTATTTTACTTATATCAGAGCACTTGGAAAATTGTCATAAGCACTTCATCCCAATCTTCACAGTGAGCGTAGAGTTGCACTACCAATGGTACCAGCAACAGTCTGATTGATATGCTGTGCCTACTTGTGTTTTCTCAATGTGCCATCCAGGAATCAGATGACAGTTAAAGGGCAAGTGCCATAGTAAAAGAAGATTAGAGTACGGAGTATTTTCATTAACTTTTAAATGCACAACAAAATAACAATCCAGCGGTTGTGTACCCATCAAGCTACATCGAGTAATTTATACATTGCAGAAGAGAAAACCAGATGGGGTTCTTTGCTTGGACCTACTGAAGGTCCTCTTTACTTATTTGACTTGTATTAATTATTGTCATCTGTCTGATTTGAAATTCTGTTCTGTGCTAGAATTGATTTGTTTATAATGATTTCAGTCTGCTGATAACTTGTGTCTATGCTTTCAGAGTCCTTTAAAGGTCACTTTGGACCAGTACACTGTGTGGGTTTCTCTCCTGATGGGGAACTGTATGCAAGTGGTAGTGAAGATGGAACTCTGCGCCTTTGGCAGACCACTGTTGGAACCACATATGGTTTGTGGAAGTGTGTAGCACCAGACATTGACAATGGAGATATTACTACGTCAGCTTCGTCATCTTCCACTGCCACCTCTACTTCTGGAAACTCCTCATCAGTGATCAAAGTGGAAGCTTGACATCCAAGTTATGTGGTCACTTTTTTAGTCCATAGTTTTTTTGTTTAAATAGTTTTGTTTGCAGGTGGAATAAGCATAGTTTGGGAGTGGAAAATATGTTTTTGAATGCCTTAAATAAGTTTATCTTTCATTACTTCAATGGTAAACACTGCATTAAATAAAAAATAAAAAAAACAACACTGTATGGTATTTCTAAATGCTGATCAATCAAAATGTAAATAACTGGCCTGGTTGCAGTGATTTTATATGAGCTTTAAGCAACAAAATGTAGCCTTTATCAGTCTTCAGTTAATTTCTCTTTGTTATTCTCTTCTTTTTTTCCCCCTCCTTTGACATTTGCAAGGTTGTGGTACTCCTACCCCCCTCCCCCCACATATTTAGGAAAGTTGGCCTTGATTTACCTGTTTCTTAATTATAAAAACTGACATCCACTTTCTAATATAACTGCTGCTAAACAGCATGTTAATCTTTGTAAACATTTTTTTTTGCTGAAATGTTGTAAGGCAGTGCATAAAAATAAACATAGTGTTTAGATGAGGTACAAGGTGGAAGAGAAGAAGAAGTTTAGAAATCAACAATTCTCAAATCATATATTAATACAATGCAATTGATATCAGATGCACTGATTTCTCTGTGTTGTGGATACTGTCAGATCTGGCGGCACTCCTCACTATGATTTGACGACACCCAGCTTTAGCTAAATGCACATTTTCCAGTGTTGTACAGGTAGCAGATGAAATTTCTGTTTCTCCTTGATGAGGACTTTCTGGTTCATGTCTGTTTGTGTAGCTTGTATTTGCTCAGCTGAAGTGACGGCTGGAGAACCACTACAGACAGGCAACCAAAGTTTAATGCATTCAGAAACAAGTGTCTAAGCAAAATCACACAAATACAATGGGTTGAATTCACAAGGAACAAAGAAATAAGCAAAATGTCGGGGCAACCACTAGTATCAGCCGTTACAAGACAAAGAAGATGATGCTACATTGGACACATCCCAAAAAAGAAACCAGCTGAGAATCACCAGACAGGCATTGCAATGGGAAATTGAGGAGGTGAGGATGCCCAAATGAAACCCTAAGGTGAAAGTTGATGAGAGAGGCCAAAGCTGCTGGACTGGATTCCATCCATGATATTGAATTGATTGCACAAGATGTAATGGAATAGAGGAATAGACTGCGAGCTCTGTGTGACATATAGTGACGCAACAGGATCATGAATGAATGAATTCGCTCAGCTTGTCAACTCTTTTCTTTTCTGTTATAATGGTTCATTATGATCTAAGATATCTCAGTTCTGTTTCATAACATTCCTGATCTGATATTTACACACGCGCGCATGCACGTACGTACGTATGTATGTGTGGCTCTCTTTGTTTTAACTTTTCTGTGTTTTGTCCCTCTCTTTTGCTTAGAATCATGCCAGTTGATGTGTTTTAGCACTGCCACACTGTCTTGTGTTCCATTCCTGTGCATTATCATTTCTAAACAGTGCATTTCAAAAGTTGCACCATTTTCCATTTACAGAAGTTGTTTTACTGGAAATTGGGGTTATGGTTTTTAAAAACAAAATTAGTTTTCTGTATTTTTACTAAATGTAAACAGTACAGATTTTGGTCCTGAATTCCACACTTATCCCCAAGTGCCTGCAGTCTGATATATGGGATTAGATAATGCCTGAAAATTACTCTGAAAGTACAGTATATAATCTTTCAAATTTTAACCTAAGAATAAACACACACACACACATATATATACATATATGTACATATACACACACATGTATATACATAGATACACATAAATATATGTATGCGTGTGTGTGTATATACATAGGGCTGCCATGGTGTAGCAGCTAGACACTTGCCTGTTGATTAGAAGGATATGGATTCAGATCATGACGGAGCTGGACCTTGGCTCCTGAGTTGACCCAGCCTTAAGTGGGTACCGGATAAAAGTCATGGGAAGTAAAGGAGGCCGGCTGACATCAGCCACCAAGTGATGATTAGTCTATAAAATATAGGTCTATGTTGAGCTGAGATGATCAACTCAGTGCTCCTGCAATCAGACGAGTGTCCTGTATTTGTCACTCAATGAATGTTGCTGGTTGACAGGGCTGACAGTTCTTCTATTGAACCCTGGTTTCAAAGTGTTGCAGTTGATCCAGATGAAGGTTTGTATTGATACATGATGTCTTCACAGTACATGTGTCTGTTGATGATAATATGGTATCCTGCATTTATTTTACCTTGATTAACCTAGTTCAAGTTACCTTTCTGCTGGACTTCTGACAAATCTAAATTATCCTAAAGATGTATGTATCTACCAGCCACCAACACAGTGCAAGCTGCACAATGCCATCAGAACTTTCTTAATCTCCTGATTCAGATTACTTCTTCTCAAATCTAAATTGAACAGGTGCAGTGTCTCAAATAATGAGGCACTATGTCTTGCTTATCGTTTGAAGAGATATAATAGTTGTAGATCTGAAGTGTTATCAAATGTGTTGCCATTCTTCAACTTTAATAAAACTGAATAAAAGGTGTTTGACCATTTTTTGGGGGGTTTTTCCCTCAAATTTTTGTTGCTGTCAGTTTTTTCTATTTTTAGAGAGAAAAAAATTTCACTTTTTAGTTTGTTGACTGGATGTCAACTTCTTCGGTGTTCATCTGATGTCATTGCATTGTGCCCATTTACAACATAGCCTCAATATTTGCACCTTTGCGTCGACGATCTGACTTCCGCAGGCATTTGCTGACCGATTAGCTTCATGCAGTCTCATTGTTGTGTGATCATCTTTGTTTGCGAGGTCACAGGTGGTGGCCCACATCAGGCTGGTCCAGAATAGCCACGTGATGCTTGGTCAGCCCACAATTGAAGGTAGAGGCAGAACATGAGCATTCCCTGCCATAGCAGGTGGCTTCCATTATTGCAGAGCCAATACACAATATGTTCTTGTACTGGGCCTACCCAAGCAATCATCACATGCTGCTCATGAATGTTTAACCTCACTTCTATATATTGAACACATCTCATTCATCACAGGCTGTCTTTAGAAGCCAGAAGTAGGCAGCCTGCAGACCTGGGATTTTAATTACCTACACAAAATGTGAAGTCAGCTTCTTTTGCATGTTAGACTTTTACTTCAGTGGTCTTCTGCATCCACTGTAGCGTTATACATTTCCCACATAGATGCCATGGGGCATCCACTGTAGCGTTATACATTTCCCACATAGATGCCATGGGGCATCCACTGTGGCAGTATATGGACAGTTTGGTCTGTTTCATGTTCTGACTACGACATGGTTTGTGCACTGCATTTCTAGAGACTGTCAGCTCCAAGAATGCCTGAGTGTTTTCTTCAGCAGTCTACTTGAGTTATTGACATCTCCACAGTTTGTCTTTAAAAGTAGCTGAAATAATTGTCTTTGTTCTGCATATATTGGGCACTTGCAGCAAGGGTTTAGCCGTCATTTTACAATTTCCACTGTAACAATCATCCTGTCCCCTATCTTTAGCTCATTGAACAAGTGGTGTTTCAATTTTGTATATCCTATGCCGAGTCTAAAGATCACTATTTGTTCTCGACTTCGGTTTAGACATGGTCACTTGTGTGCGGCGAAACGCGATTTTATTGTTAAAAAACGTTGACAATGTTGAGCAAATACATACTGCAGGTAGCCCTAGAAGCAGTCCAAGAGGTGCGCATAAACAAATAAACCATACTGGAATTGCGATCTAGAGCAACTGCACAACAATATGGAAACAGAAAGAAAGCAAGCTGAGACCAGAAATTGTCGAGAGCAGTTCAACAACTACCAAATTTCAAAGAGTTCGACGGACAAGCTGGTAGGAAAAGAAACGTCTCTAAACTTTGAAAGAGACACAAGGAAATTGTGGAGGTTAATAAAACAAATAATGATGAGAGTACAGGGAGAAATGTTAATATTGCACAACGCAAAGAAGAGCCATCCTAACAAGAAAACAGGCAGCTGACCACTTTGCAGATTCTTTTGCCGAAGGCAGCAAGCAACATCAATGTCAGCCCAGAGAAAGAGCGAGAGGTTTGAGAGAACCAGCAGCATACAAGACAAAGTGATATAATTCCGGAGGCACTGGTGGCAGCATTTACATCTAGCGAGTTAGAGCTAGCAATATCAAAGCTGAGAATGGGAAAATCACCTGGAATTTATGGAATCACTAACGAAATTATCAAGAACCTTGGAACAACCGCCAAAATAATGCTGCTACAGATCTTTAATCATTGTTGGACCAGTGGTAAAGTTCCTCAGATATGGAGAGAAGCAATTACAATACTGCTGCTTGAAACCGGGAAAGGACAGTTCCGATGCCTCCAGCTATAGACCGATCAGTCTTACCAGCTGCCTCTGTAAAACAATGGAACATATTGTCAACCTTAGACACCAATGGTACTTTGAAAGTGAAAACATCTTCATGCCGCAGCAGGCAGGATTTAGACAGTGCTACTCCACAGAAGATCAGACAACATACCTTTGGCAAAAAATTGAGGATGCCTTCCAGCAAAAGAAGCTAGTGCTAACGGCATGGATAGATCTGAAAAAAGCCTTTGACAAGGTCTGGAAAGAAGGTCTATTGAAGAAACTAAGAGACTGCAGGGTGAATGGGAGTATGTACAAATGTGTGAAAGCATACTTGTAAAACAGAATCCTGAGTACAGACAGATGGACTCAAGAGTAAGAAAGTTTTGCTGCACCATGGCGTACCACAAGGAGGTGTCCTGTCCCCCACACTCTTCCTAGTCTATATCAATGACCTGCTTTCTGAACTACCCAATGGAATTAAAGCTGCAATGTATGCTGATAACTTGGTACTCTGGTGTACAAATGAACATGCAACAGTGGCCACCAGACTGCTACAAAGAGCCATAGATGCAATGGCTGAATGGGCTGACAAATAGCGTGTCAGCATCAACATAGGCAAAATGCAACACCACCCTCTCTTGAAAACAAAAATCAGGCG